TGAATCCTCGCTGCTGTAGAGTTCTACCTAGAACCTTTAAAGGTTCCTCCAGAAGGACAAACTGAAGCACCCCTAGAGCTCCTTGATGAAAAGTTTTAGTATAGCTAAAAATAAACAAAACAAACAGATAAACCATGCTTAATGTGATTTGTATATTTAAGATAGAGGAACACACTGTAATTTGTACACTGCATTTCATTCTTCCTTCCTGGCTGCTCCTTTTTTACCTGTCACTGAAGAGCTTGCCTTGAATGAAGAGATTTACTATCTGCCAGCAGCGGCGCTGAGCATCACTCGTCTGTCCAACGTCTGTGATCAGAACAAAACAGCCGCTTTTCCTTAAAATTTTTTCTGAGAGAAAGAGTGAGAGCTTTTTTTGCTCTTTTATCTGATAGTTCCAGTCTCTGTTCTTTGATCCTGCCGACACCAGGCCACAGTCCACATCCAGATGGAGAGATAAGAGCAAAAGACTGATGATGCGGCAGAGTGGAGAAGGTGGCAAAGGAAGAACATGTCTCTGGTGTTGCTTAGCTAAGAGAAATCTCTCCCCCAACACAGACCTTTAAGATGTATATCATTAAGGGTTATGGATCATCATGCAATTGTATCTTCTGACCTCTGTCAGGCAGCATAATGCTGCTGATGCTGAGACTGTGAGAGGACAGAAAAAGAGCAGCCAAAACTGCAGATCCAATGCTCTGAAAGTTATTCTTACATCTTTCCTCATCTATATGTCTCCCAGGAATCATTCTGGGCTCAACACTCCTTCCCCACAAATCACTTTCTTTCAGTAGATTAGGTCAGTTTCGCTCATACTGAGTGCTTTTGTATAGAAAACTGGAATATTCAGGTTAAACACAAGCCCTCATTTAGTTGTGCCCCTGCTGGGGTCACATTCTGAGGAATGTGTCGACACTTATGACTCTCCTGAGAGAAGGAGGTAAAGAAGGAGGAAAGGAGGACTGGCTGAAAGAACAAGGGAGGAAGGTTGAGCAACAGCACCTCCCGGATGAGCCAGGTGCACTGTTGGAAAGGCTTTATATTTCCCAGGCCAGGAATCCTTTGAGAGTTTCTGCTCCTACACTGGATGCAGGAGACACTGTGTTTAAACCAAGGTCTTCAAAGACCTGAATCTTGGGTGTTGGGTGTCGGACGACCACTGCAAACTGAATGAATTCATATAGAGTTTCTGGTAACCTGGTTACAGGGTCAGTGCAGTGTCTCAGAGGGGCTAGATGTGTTTACGATTATGAACCACAATAGGCCTTAAGGGTGTGCTTCTCATTCACATGTGTTTTGTTTTGTTTGGGTCTGTTGTGGTGTGGTTTTTTTCCATAGTATTTTGATGAGCAAGCATTTATCCCCAGTCCATGCTGAATTGATTATACAGCATCTTAAAAAGTTGTGTGTATTTATTCAGTCCATGTCCAGCCTCAATGATGTCACTGCTCTTATTGACTGGTAAGCTTGTGCGTATGTGTGTGTGCGTGTGTGTGAGTGTGTGTATGTGTGTTTGTGAGCCAGTGATTCAAGTTTCCTACATGTTAACATTAAAACCAGATGTTTTGAGTCTTACTAGGCGAAGTACCTGCTTAAGAACTTAAATTCTCTTGGATTTAACCCTGGATCTAGTTGCTGCCATAACTGAACCTCTGGAGTGCTACCTTCCAGACCCTCAATTAATTTACCTGTCTTCCTAGTGGTGTCATGAGGGAAAGATGGTAGTGCAAGGCTTTTCTCCACTTAGGAAAAATTAAACTGGCAACAGCAGAGCTCATGTTACGTCGTCAAGTGTGTGTGATGTTGAGCTCCTAATGGAGTGCTTCATATTTCAAAGCTGCAGTGGATCAAGGTATGCTGTGGTATTATAAAACCGAGGATGCTAATGGGATCAGAAGGCTTTACCCAGACACACTCAGGAGAACACATTAATATGATATGGCTTTAGGGGTAGTGTGCTCTGACTTGTTAAAGAGAGCGATTGAGAATAGCTTGTGTGCATGCATGCATATTGGTTCATGAACAGTTCTAATTTTGCTCATTTGAGTATGCAGTTGAGCATGTGTTTGCTTGGCAGAGTCAGGGAGCTGAAGGAACCTGATGCCCCTGCTGGAGTGCAGTGCTCTGGGCAGGCAACTGGAGCCTGGCTCCTTAGGCTTATGGGTAAAGGACTCCAGATGTCTCTGGTAGAGTTTCTGTGTGTGCCTGTTCCAGAGAGCTAAGCGGCCAGCTGGCCCCGGTGCTACACACTTATGGGAGCCAAAGAGAGAGACGCAAACACACTCTATCTTTCTCTCACTGCTTCATTAATGACAACACAGTCTGGCTGTCTCTGCCTGTTGACATGAGTGGAGAAAAGGATGATGGAGGCAGTGCTTGTCAAGCATCTTTTGTTTCCTGTCCAGTTGAAGAAAGTGATAAGGCTTGAGGAGTGACAAGCTGTGAAATCATCCACTGATGAAAAAATAACCAAGGCGCATATTATTTACGTATGCTGCGTGGTCCTACATGAGAAATGAAATAAAAAGGCTGTTATAGTCAAATAGTGCTCAAATGGCTTGAATCTGGTCCTACTTATAAATATCTCCTTCTATGCAATGGTGGAATAACAGAATTTGTATCTTGATATAATAAAATATTTGAGAATCTTTCCTGTTGAATATGTGTATCCAATCCCAGAAGATCATTAGAAATATGAACTCTCAAGCAATCCCTATCCAGTGAAAGGTTTAAATGCTGAAATGCGTTTAACATTATGTAAACCTAATGCAAAATGTTAAAAGCTGGGCTGTTTTGGTCCCAAGAACTGGTTTGGCTTCATGTCATAGCTGCATGTTGATAAATTTGTAGTAAATTATAGTGATTATTTTTCTCAGCTGGATCACTGCCTGCACCTGATTGGCTGATTTTAATTGATGTTGACTTTATTTGAAAACGGTGCTGGGTGTGTTTGATTTCTTGGCCCTGCCTGTATCAGGGTGTTGGATTTCTAGCTAAAATGTGTCCTTAAGGACTATGTGCATAGATTCTCAACAGACATTTATAGGCTGATAGCATTTGAGGCATTACCTTTTCAAACAGATTTAAGATGAACTTGACTCCTAATTTTACTCGAATCCTATCCTACACCAAAGTTAGTTCCAAGCGGTACTATTAGCAGTAAGGAAGTGTGTAAAAGGTCAGCCATTAAGCTACTGGAGAGGTTTTGTTGAGGTCTGTGGGAAGATTGTAAAGGAATGCCATGTGGTTCTGTTATCTGTTTCGCAAGTTCTTTGCAATAGTGGCTGGTGTTTGTGATTTAAAGAGTGGTATGGATTTCACAGCAGTCAAAACACATTGTGTTTTGTGGGAATTCAGTGGTTTTGGAGGTGAAAGAGTGTCAACACTGGGTGAATGATCGCACGTCACTGTAGGATGGCCGGTCATAAACAATCATAGATAATCACAAATGTTTGTTCACTGCCAATGAAGTCTAATTCAGTAAGCAATAGCAACAGGGAATTACTGGCATAAAATATATAACTTTTTTAATGGAAAGGTTGCAGTCAGTAAACTACATTAGAAACAAAACTGCATTCTGCAGCTCTGTTCTCCTTAAATTAAAACAAAGTAGACCTAAAGCAGTGATTGCTTTGAAACTTTTCAAAACTTTAACAAATTCATTACAAAATGTTCTTTTACATATATAGTCTGTTTTTGGTGAACTTTGTATTAACCTATTTGATGCTTTGTGTCATAAATGTTATTTCCCCCTTTCTTGTTTTTTTTCTTCCTCCTTTTTGACACAGAACAGTGGAGAGAGCACTGCAGTAGAGCACGTGGTGTTGCCTGTTTAGCTATGTGGCCAACTTTCTCCACATCTGATTGATCTGTAACATTTTTGTGTAAATAGTGAAGAAAGAGGGTACAGTGAAATACAGCTGCAATAATCATTCAGAAAGACGCCAATTTTTTTTCCCTCTGTTACCGGAATGATGTAAACATCAGTTTCCGTAAAAACTACATTCTGATCCAGAGTGTATGTGTTTAAGGGGGCACCAAAGGTTCAGCCGAGTATTTGTTAGAAAACTTTCTGAATTATCAATGAGTCGTAAAAATCTTTTCAAACGGTATTTCCTTTCAACTTTGGGGAAACAACTAATGCTCAAACCTGCCAATGTCAGAGGTTCTGTTATACTTCCAGGTGGCCCAGTCATATTTCAGACAAGCTGCTAACTGAGGATGTTCTCACTCAACCTCTGTTTGCCCTGTGTAGCAAAGCATGCTTTCAGCTGGATCTTATCAGCTGGAGAACAGATTCTGTCGAGCTGATTAAAGCCTTTTAGGGGTTACGTGGTTTATGTGGTGACCTTTTGGTCTTTTTTTGCTTTTATTTATTTACTTCTTGTTTCTTTATTTCTTCTTTGCTTTTTTGATGATTTTTTTGCTTTTCTGTATTTATTCCTTGTCTTTTTATCTCTGCATTTCTTCTTCTGACTTTTCATTCCTCCCTGCACATCTGTTCTGGCTCTGGTCTGCCTGCTGCAGATGTTGTTGACATTTGATGACTGTAGATACAAATGACTAGATTTTTTTTTTTTTTTTTTTTTTTTTTTTTTTTTTTTTTTTTTTTTTTTTTTTTTTTTTTTTTT